TAGCTTCTACTGCTGCTGCTCATACGTTACAATGGTTGTAAAATCATTGACAGAATCAAGGAAGCAGGATGGGGTTTAATTTCATTACGTTTTTCATGAGGCAGACCAGACAGGGTCCCTCACACATCATTATTTACACCCTGGCTAGTGCTCAACTTAATGTTTATTATTGTATCTCCGAACGCCACTGCAGACTAATCACACTCTGATGTGGCCGTACCGTCAGAGAGGATTTTTGGAGCAGGATTTACGAGGCCGTTAATAGCTGAGGATCTCACATGAGGATTACAGTATTGTGATTATCAGTTACCAGTTGTGATAGTTAAACTATGCATGTCTGAATGCAACATGGCTTAAACTCTTATTTTCTTTACTTAGTCTTTAGGTCAAAGATATGTTTAATTCTTTTTTTTTGTATGCATCCTTTGCAAGTCTGTGTTGCACTGGGACAGATCACTAGTCATTAAGAGGAGGTTTAGTGAGGCAACTTTAAACACATGACAATAATCCATAGTATTTATCAATTGCAGCTGATCTATCAAGCACTGGATCACAGGATCTTTATGCCCAATGACTACATTTACAAACACATGAACCCTAACCAGACAATTCACAGAATAAGACATTACTCTAAATGACTTAATAATAGAATAGAATATTCCTTTTTTATTCTTGTTTACATGTTACAGAGTCTAAATATGTCTCATCATTATGTCCACTATGTTGTATTTGTCTGATGTCCCTACCAGAATTGAAATACTTTATCGCACAATGCTACTTTATACCCTTTGAATCTTTTCTTTCTAATATTTCAATGAGCAGTTGATAGGCGAACTTCTAAATGTCAACAACACACACAATCTAATATAGGGCATGTGTATAAATATAATATGTACAAATTTCACATCACGCAACTAAGGTCGAATTACTCCACCTTCTATTAATTGGGTCAATATCAGAATATTGTTGTCCAGGTAGTCGACAGAAACTTTGTTATATAAAACTCAACACATATTATATATGTGACATAAAGTCTCCAACACTCAGAGGTAATTTTATGTAACACAAGAAGAAATGTGAACAACTAACTTCCTAACAGTCGATTTCTCTTCATGGTGGCTTTGGTTTCTTCGATATGAAGAAAGTGCTTCCCTATAAAACTATACTTTCAATTAGTTTCCCTGTACTTTTAGGGAGGCTTTGCAGATCAAAAGTTAGAAGAGAAACTGGGACCATCAGCTGCACATTGGCAGAAATGCACATACATTTAATTCAAATCCTATGTCTCCTCAACTGGAGCTAAACAGCCTCTTTTCACAGGACACAGAGAAAGTGCTGGTGTGAGGACAGAACGTTTCCAATTAAGCAGTTGGAAGGACAATGTTGAGGAAAATGTAATGAGGGAGAGATTTGGACATGAAGAACTTTAGAGAGGAAATGGCTAGAGAGAGAAAGACAGAAAGACAAGACGAGGGGAGTAACGGTGCATCAATGTAGGTTGACAGGTAAATTAGCATGTGTGGCTAATGGGGCAAAATGCGGCCAAGGCCTTGTATACTCACCCTTCACTCTGAAAAGCAGGCAGCTTGTTGACACAACCATTGCCTCCGTCACTCCACTTCTTAGTTTTAGCATCTGAACACGTGAACCCCCTCGACTCCCACTGACAACACGAGTGACATGCTAACAACACGCACTTTAGCACAAGTAGGCATTGAGCTGCCATGCGTGGGAACACAAGAGGGAGAACTTAATCTAATAGGATTTAGAATGAATTGGAGATGAATCTTGAAATGTTCAAAAAGGTTTCGAGATGTTGGCCTTTTGATTGATCTCCTGTCAAGCTTTTTAGCAGAAGTGAGAAGCACTGAAAGAAATCCTGCATCAGAGCATGCATTTGGAATAGTGTGTGTGTGGAGTTGTTTACAATCCGCTCATCAACGCGAGGGGTAAATCTCTCCCGTACTTTTTTCTCCACCTTCCAGCGGGAATCAATAGAGAGAGCTTGTTCTCTGCATCTCTCTGCCATTCATTTTCATTCCAATCACTTTGCTGTGTATACCCTTGATGCCACAGTGGAGTCATAGATCAACACCCTTGCAAAGTGTGTGTGTCGAAGGGGAGGGGTGGAAGCATGTGCATGTACTGTATGTGTCTGTGTAACCAAAGCGTGCACATGCATAAGTGTTTGTGGATCAGCGCCACAGCGACCACAGTTGGGTATTACCACATATCAATGTGCTTTTCTTCCCGTAGCGGGTGTCTGAATATTTCATCTAATCATTAAAACGCTGACAGGCTTCACAGAGTAGCGCCACTGATCCCCATCAGAGGAATACAGGGCCTGACTTCATTAGTCCTGTTAGTACTAAGCTGCTTTACCCTCATTCACGCCTGGCTTAACCTGCACAGTGATAAATGCGGAACGGAGGAGGAAAGATAGGCAAAGGGGCAGAGAGGTGAAACAAGAGCAAAGCAGCGACAAAGGCATTTAAAGAGCGAAGCAAAGGTGCCAAAGTCGGGCATGGAGGATGGGGAAGGAGGATATGGGAGGGGAGTGGGAGGGCACAGAGCGTGTGAACCTTGGGTTTCAGACGCAGGGGAGAGGATAAAGCTCAAAGTGGTGTTTGAACTGGGAGGGATTTACAGATGCAAAAAATGAGCAAAACAATCAATTGACTTGTGTTGCAATCAATCGATTATTACGCCAGCACATCGACAGCCAAAGTGCTTTACTGAGATTCCAGCGTGAGGCTCCTATGAGCTGAAGAATTACCACCGACCTCTGTGCACACATATGCATCTTCATTTATGCATAAGCTACTTTATGCTTTCACATATGCATCTAAGCACATAAAGATATGCACACACATCTTTGGTCTCAGCAGATTTCCCCGGTAAATTCATCTGGTTTCCCTCCCACCAGGGCCCCACGCCCCTCTCACTCAGTCTTCTGCTCCTGGCAGCAGAGGTTTTTGGCTGGCGTAAGTACGCCCACAGGCCCCTGAGGGACAGCCCGTGACGGATGGCACTGCGTGTGACTCCAATTCGATTCAGCCCATTTGATAAATTTATTGCTGGCATTTTGAAAATGAAATTAGAGGGACGTCTCCTAGTGACTGTTTTTCCAGCGCAGGTGCCATAAATATACTTCGTTTGGCAGAGGAGAGGGAGAGGGAGTGTGAGAGGGTGGAAAGGTGTTGGATAAAGGATGTATTGGTAGGGGGGGCAGATAGTGGGGATGTTCCACAGAAGTAGAGGAATAAAGAATAAGGTCACGTTATAATGAGCTTCTGTATTAATCATGATATTGGAGAGAAACAGCAGTAAAGGTTAGTCAGCCATAGTTGGAGTACTACCTGGGCCTTAAATACTACGCGCTGTCCTTCAGTCTAATACGTGTACGGTCCTAATGTTCTCTTTCAGCAGGTGTAACATCCACCTCCCCCGTGTTGCATATTGACAGATTGTGTGTTGACATTGGCAGTGTGCACAAATGTCCTGCTTTCTCTATTTTTCATGCTCATGCACACACAAACACACTCAAGCACAGATGCACACAAACATTTGCGCGTCGGTCTTTTAAAAGATGTGAAGACACTCACACACATAGTTTATGTACATTATCTTTGTCTCAAGGCCCCATGGCTCTTCAGTAGCAATGACACTGTCAGAGCTGCATAGCCATCTATAACTCATAGTGTATGAATGAATGCGGCTGGTTATTTTTCTCCCTGACAGCCTCAATGTGTGGGAGCGAGCAACAGTGAATGTGTTTCGTGCCTAAACAAGATTTGAATTGGACGGAACAAGTCGTACAGGCGAACAAAGGAGCAGCTTCATGTCGGGTCACGTGACCTTCTTTATCTCGTTCTCATTCAGAAACATATACGAGTGTAGTTATGGAGGGATGATGTACACCAAGCCAGCCTCTGCTCATGTTCAGCATTCATCAGAGAGCGAGGCCAGGGCAGCTCACATCACTTACCTTTATAGGTCCATCTGACAAACAGTCATCTCCTCACAACAGTGTGTACGTGTCTGAGTATATACTGTCGCACAGATGCACACTGTCGATGTCTCTTTCACTGTATCTATAAGCAGCTTCAACTGATTTTAAGCCTTGTGAGGGGAAAACTGTCAAAGACACACTCCTACTGTTTAGGGTTTTTCAGAAATATAAATGTTGTGCATATTATAACACATCTACATGACGATGAAAATATTTTTACCTGCTGTCTGTTCTGCTCTGGTAGGAGCTTGTGCAAAACAAAACCCAAGTTCTTACGAGCACAGCGGGGAATCAAAGAAAGTTTCAACAAAATCAGCAGGGGAGTTCTCCTGAGTGATCGTTTGCTTCTTCTTCTTTGCAATCACAGAGCGTGACACACCCCTTTGCCATTACTGTATCTCCACCACGGCGAGTGGAGATGCTCTGTGCACACACCTGCAGGCTGTCGCTCAGAACAACGCCCCTGGTGCTGCTTAAACTCTCTGGCCCCATCAACTTACAAAACAGCCCACAGGTACTACTTTCCTAAAATCTCCACCCCAAAACACAAACATGCACGCACACGTACACACACGCACACACCTCTCTTCTCTCCCTAAAGATTCACTTTGCAAAACAATCACCTCCCCCTAACCTCACATTTACATACACATGCAAGTGTGGAGGAGTCTAAACAGAGCTGTGATTACTCTGAACGTAAGACTTACAGAAATCAACGCATAAGCACAGACTGCAGGCTGTCTATCATTGTGGGTTAGCAGGATAATTTAATCTAGTGTGTCAGTGGGTGTGAGTGATTGACTTCGTAATCAAACAGATTGTTCTGCAACGGAAACACTAAGAAATCAACATCAACAACGCCATGATATGTTATTCATCTCATTAGCAGAAACTGAGAACGCACGCCGACACGCGGAGCCACACACCTACACTGCACCCATCTGAAAACCAAGGGGAACCACAGGTGACTGATTGAGTGCTGTCTTACCTTTTTGTGATGATACTGTGGCATCTGTAGATAAAAGAGAAAGGGAAACACAGAGGGACGTGTTAGGAGTTGACAGCAGACACATAAAACGCAGGAGATGACAGCCGTGGTAGTGATTTGCTGGGAGGGAAACAAGCCATCCAAGGAGGATAAACAGACAGGGTGGGGGTTGTACACAACCTGGGGGGTCTCTCATCTCAGACCTGCGGAGAATTTTTCACTTTACCACGCTCACACTTAGTCATACCTCAGTAATCATGCAGTAGGTGTACTAAGCAAAACCCACAAATGAACACAGCAGCTTTTCTCCAATCCACTGAGAGAGATGGAACAAAAAAAGGGATCTGAGCAAACACATGGGAGAGCGACGTCAAGTAGGAAGATGAGAGTCTCCAGACCTTTGGAAACCTCTTTCACAATTTACCTGGAGTGAGCTTTCTAATAAGTAAAAGTAATGCCACTGAGGAGCAGCAAGACAAAGCAAATCAAATCCTTTTAGTAAGCATTTTAGGTTCTTACTCAGAGCCCACTAGAGACTCTACAGACCCAGAAGGCGTAAATCAAAACACCGCCTGCTCAGAGGGGAAGAATGTACTGCAATGCAATTCTTATACAACAGAGCATTTATTTAAAAAAAAAAAAAGAAAAACCTAAACCGAAGAATGTGTTATACTGTAATCTTGCTATATTGTTCCCACAAAATATTTACGAAGACAATATTCGTAAGCTCCCAAGGTTTCTTTTTTATTTAATAGACGTGTCAAACTTGCCAAGATACAATAATAAATAAAATAAAAACAAAGGGAGAAAAAAGTCCTTTTGACTGTTTTTTATTACTTTGTACTTTCAGCAAATCCTTTTAGAAAATGTCACTGCTGGCCATGTGCCCAAAAAGCCCAAATGGCCACAGACATGGGAAGGGAATAATTGAATCCAGATGGATTTGTGGTGTACTGGGCTGAGGAAGTGATAATCCAAAGCTCTGCCTAATTGCCAGAGTAAAGATGGCGTCCATTGTGGGGGTGGCATCGGTGTTTATCAAGGCAGTGTGGCGTGGGATTGGACTGAGCATTAGGGCTTTACACACTTTTGTTTTGTGAGGTGTTACAGTGGATTTGAGCAAACATTGGCCCCTCTGGTTATTACATGGTCTGATTGTCTGCTATGCAACTGTCCATAAGCTCTGCATGTCTAGTCTAATCTGAGAGGAGGCTTCAAATAATTAGTTAGTGAAGCACTCTCACGGCCCAGCGCAGTCAACCTTATCAGTAAAAGAAAAACCTTGGTCCATTTCCTTTTCCCCCCAAAGGCTTAAAGACTCTCACCACTGTTAAAGCCCTCAGGGTGGCTGCATAGCCGATAAAATATTATCCAACATGTCCCAACCACTGCCCCGACACTTCTTCTTTTTGTCATTTGTTATATTAAAAAAGACTACGGTGTGTCAAATGGAAATGTTCTGCCAAGTGCTCTTGGTACAAGCAGACTCCAAGCACTTGTCTTAAACTTGTGAAGGCTAACTCTACAAAGAACAGGATGATTTCCAAAAGCTTATGAAACATTTTTAGCAAAGACAAAGAGAGAGTTTTGTCTGTGGTGACGAACAAACCGGATTCTTTATACCTACAAATTTTTACACTTCAAAATGTCTTTGATTTCTAACAACTTTGGAAGATTATGACACACACAGTGACGAGTAACCGACCAAGTATTAAAGGGATAGCTCGCCCCAAAAATGAAAATTCACTCATTATCTACTCACCACTATGCCGATGGTGGGGTGAGTGAATTGTTTGAGTAAACAATGAGTGAATTTTCATTTTTGGGTGAACTATTTTCTAAATTATCATTATAACTTGAGTAAATGAGAAGAAGAATCTTTCTGGAACAAACCATACGATGCCAAAAGAAAAAGCTTGAGACAGCACAATTTAATTGTGATTTAATTCTTATATAATAAGGCATAATTAGAATTATGAATTAATTAATTGGGCCTATGCATAGCTACCTGCAGTAAACAGCAGGGTACTACATTGTGTGACACTTCCTGCTCTCTGATATAATACATTGGGGTTGGGGAGAAATTTGAAAGAAAAAAAAAGTAATAACATGCTGTCTATTGACACTTTTTTAAATGCGATAAATAATGAACACGCACCAGCTTGGTGATAATGAATAATCAGATGAAAGCACTTCTTCCCTCTGTAGAACTTGCAGGGTCAGAGCAGAGTCATTAAGCTGATTGGTGTCAGCACACAAAAATAACTTTAGGGAGGTAAAGAAAAGCACCATTATTGATTATTGCATTTCTTGTTGGCTCTTGATTATCGTTGGCTCTCTTGGATTTGAATGTGCAGTGAATGTGTGAGTGGTGTTTTGATCTGAAACAGCCCATATGTCAATACAGGTTTCCCACTGCAGAGCAAGCCTCCTAAAGTTAAGCCGGCCCAGAAGCACGGCCAAGAACATTAAACACTACCTCTGTAGTAAGTATTTACAAAATGAGGAAATGAATGTCCCAAAGGTTTTTTTCTCGACTGAGATTGACAAAAAGAAGTAGAGGAGAAGAGCAATGGAAATGAAGAGTGGCACTAAGACAGTTCATGGGTAATTTAGGTAAACATCCATCCTATATAAGACTCTAGTTTAAAAGCAAAACAGCCAAGAAGCAAGCATAGACCAAAACACATGAATAAGACACGTGTACTGGGTATTACAAAACCTAACAATATATATTTTATCAGTCATTACTTCTAACTGCATCTATTTGATTACTTTTTTAAATTCAAACACAGTCATTAACCAGAGAAGAAGTAAAAGCTTTCAACTTGAATGACAGAATGACAACCTGCAATTACTGTAGTCAGACTAAGACAGAGGTTTCACTGCTTGAGCTGGTGAATGTTCCAAGTTAAGATCAACACAAACGGAAAATGAGTTTTTACTCAAAACTCTGGATCTAAGAGGGATCATACATAAAAAGAAGGATCAATAAAGACGCTTGCACACAATGGGACATTACTACAAACTCTCTCATCCTGTGATGTGGGATGTTTGACTGAGAGATAATAGGGTTCAACACTACCCATGTGGCACACATCAATTTGAGATCAGCACCACCAAGACAGGTAACAGATCAAATAAGCATAGTTTCTTGTTCCCAGCCCAGCTTTAGCTGCTTCAGAGTGTGTTTTTAACACCTTTGCTAAGTTGTGACATGTGTCATGTAATTTGGTGTTCAGACATCAGTAAAGTTTGCTCCTCCACAATTTTCCTGTTGCGATCCTGTGGTTGCCATGGACACATTAGGTGGCGAGCTGGAAAGTTTGAACAACCGCAGAAGCAGCAACCATTCTCTTTCTGCTTTGCCACATCAGTCTGCCTCAGTGGAACCACGTTCATTTATGTTGTTGAAGGAGGAATTAAAGCTGTTACATAACCATCTAATTTCACTCTAATTGTTCTACACTAGGCGATTGTCTTCTGTACTGATCTCTGTATGCAGAGGATAGAGAGGCCCTGTGGATTATGGGGGCGACACAGGAGTCCTGGTTCGCAACAAGAAAGTTACTAGTTCGGCTCCCAGCTTAGAATAGGCTTTTATGTTTGGTGTTATTGCATATGCATGGATTCACACTGTATTAGTTTGTCACTATACATCGGACCTACATCGGGCTATTGGCTCCAGCCCCTCATAAACCTCAAGTGATAAGCGGTAAACATGATGGATGGATTTTAAGCAGATTCTCTCACTCAACAAGAATAAAAGAAAATGATTCTCTATCAAGCTGATGCGGCAGTTTTAAAAGTTTGATACTGTCACATGAAAAATAACACAAGGGTTGCTAAACATGTTGTGCTGCAGAAGTTGTCAAACATTATGTAGCACGGACGACTGTCAGCGTCCATTTGTCAGCAGCTTTTTGTTACTTTGTCACATGTGAGCATCAAGTGATTGAGAAAGCTTGTTTCTCTCTGTGAGCAATGAGCTAGTTCTTTTCACCCTCACTGTCGGAATGAAAAATTGGCACACCTGCACCGGACTAGAATGCAGCCATAAGCGTTGTGTGATGGATTTAACTTTAATGATGATATTGAGAACTATCAGCAGGGATAAGAGCCGCATCAAAAATAGAATCTCAGCTGAAGGTGCACATTTCTTACTCTTTTCTCTGCTTTGCTCTACTTCCTCAAATCTTACACATCCTTGTTTACTGTCACACTTCCCCTATGTGACACTATATGCAAGGCATACATTTGACACATGAATGCTGTAGAGCAGTAGTTTCTAAGAGGCTGATCGTGGACTATGATTACAAGACTGCTTGATATACAATATGTCTACTCAGATACCCGACCATTACTGACAATAATTCCTCAATTCATTTACCTTCCATCATGCTACAAACTCTTTACTCTAACCACTGCTGTAAATACTGACCTTCTCCATTACACGTGGCATCTATTGCACTTCTTTCCGTCCCGGGAGAGGGATCCCTCACATGTGGCTCTCTCTCTCTCTGAGTTGTCTACGTTCTTTTTCCCCTGTTAAAAGTTTTTTTTGTTGTTGTAGTTTTTCCTCACTCTTGCTGAGTGTTAAGGGCAGAGGATGTCACACCTTGTTAAAGCCCTATGAGACAGATTGTGATTTGTGAATATGGGCTATACAAATACAATTTGATTGATTGATTGATTAATATTGTTAAAACAGCACTTCCATTTTCTGACTGTTGCTCATTTCTTAAATTGTAATTTTACTGTTACAAATCGCATGCATGCTGTGTGTATGTCAAAGATAAATCCCCCCAATCCTTTACATACAGTAAACATCCCGGCCTTATTGAATTAGACTGCTATTGGAAACATGTCGTCTATTGACCCCTTAAAGTTAAGGCCTTACTGCAGCCCGCTCTGGGAATAGTTTTAATTACAGCCAGGAATTGGGTTCGATTTTATCCCCATTGTGAAAAGTGAGGAATCCCTCCATCGCTAATCCTCACTTGAAGAAAAAGGAAAACAATATC